TGTGGTCTGATGATGTACGACTGTGAACAGTTTCCTTAACACGATCCGAGAAGGCGACTATTATCTTATCACTGACGATTTTGATTCATGTGCGTGTTTATACTGTGCCTTTCTCCGTCTGATTCAGTAGACTGACGTACCAAACAAAAAAAAAACACAGACCTTGCAGCTCTTGACATGGTTGATGAGGCGTATCTGGACAAGGACGAGTGGGTCAAGAAATCGATCCGTACGACTGCCAAGGTTAGTCGGTCGCTACACACCTGTTTGTGGTGGTGTCGTGTCTCGCCTTGCTTTGCTGACTGTGTTTTTCCAGATGGGTAAATTCAGCTCGGACCGTGCTCTCACGGAGTACGCCGAGAGCTTCTGGAACGTTGAGCCTGTACCGATCCCTAAAAATTAATGTGTCTGTGTTTTGCAACGCGTTGGTACGGTTTGGGGGTGTCTGCTGGTTCGCTGAGCGACCGGCGGTGATGTTGACTTCATTTCTTCCTGCGACGGCCGTATATACATATAGAGATCACACCCCATCGAACTCGCCATATATATTGTACATACTTCCGCTGTACATACTACATATTCGTCGTCGCCGTCATCCGACTTGACAAGGTGTTTGTATGATGTTTCGTCTCTATAAATGTGTATTTTGTGTACTGGTGTTCGACGCCTAATTTTAATTTGACATCATTAGATGTGACAGTTCACGTCCTCTAATGCCAGGATTGGTATTTCTCATTGTGGATTGATTGATTTTTCTCTGTACGCTAAGTTTACGGTTTGCTGACATGCTGTGTGTCTGTCTAAAAAGATGTCAATAGACAATAGCTACAGGTTGTGTATATGTAGCTGTCGCAGGGCTGTCGAGAGCTCAAAGGCTCGTGTGAGCATGAGGTACTACTTAATCGTGGGCTCGCCGCTCGAGGTCCGAGGGATACTTACATAGTCGGAGGCCCAAGCTCAAGAGTGGGATGGGGGTAGCTGCGGTTCTCGGGAACTCGCTGAGAACTCGAAAACACTTTGTACATCCCTGGCGGCTGACGAATGCTGCCATGACCGGTTGTGATCACGACCGTTCTCAGCTCCGGTTATTTCTGTCTAGTGAACAGCTGGCGAGCCTTTATTTAAATAGTGATATCTACATGATATGCATCTTCATTCCTCGTCCATAATTCGCCTCTATAACATCCATCCGAGTCTCATATTCCAGCTCATCTTCATTCATATCTGTAAAGAATAATAGCTCTTTGAATTCGCAAGTGAAGCGAGGAGTACCGTCTTTGAGGACATTACATCTTGACACAAGAACAGCGGCACAAGCATATATTTGCTCAGGACGCGGAGGCGATGTCAATAGTAGTGCGTTGCACCAGTAACCGGTGCTGTTGGCGGTGTCCATCCAGAAGTCTGAGGTTTTGTGAATGCGCCCTATGGTTCTGTGAATGCGCTCTCTTTCGGTATCCAGAAAGAGGTGCTCTTTGCTACTTTGAAGAATAGTAGGCTCAAACATAACAGCATCATACTCTGCGAAGAGACCCTCTTCCGTGCAGACGGCATCACGCGAATTCGAAGAGGGAGGTATGATGATCAATTTTCCGGTCATAGGCATTTTGGGTGCCCATCGAAAGCCAGGCATTTCCAGTTTCTCGCCGGGAATCAAGATAATATCGCTGGGAAGCTTCTTGACTCGCATGAGGAGCATTTTCATGCGTTCTTCCGCCGCAAGGTCTACAAGTTCGAGTGCGTCGACATCCAACAGACCGGCTATGGCTAGCGTCTCGTCCGAGAGTATCAGGAAAAATTGGATTCTGTAGACTACATGTATATACAGTTTTTGTACCCACGTCGTATAGGTGAATATTAGTCGCGCCGTTACTCTTCTCATGCACTGAGTTTTTGTACCCACGTCGTATAGACGCACGGTATTCTTACAGAAACGTGGGAAACATCATGAGACACCCTGTATATTGTCTGCGCATTGTTCGCACGCACGGAATTGGGATATCGCTTGAGCAGGACATCGTACGCTTTGCATCAGTGATACGCTTCCATAGCTCCGGGTCATGCTCTTGCTGGGCCCGCTGGATGAGAAGGTCAATTTCGTCGGGCTGGCTGGTATTGTTGTCAGTCGCGTTGTCCACCGCCGCGTCCGTCGACGGCCTTGGCTCGTCCACGGCAATCGACGGCTCCCGCGGGTGTTGCACATCCTGAATCTGTAATTCGGAAGACATAGATGTCCGACCGGCTCTGCAAAGTTCACCTCAGCACAAAGCCGTGTTTGTATTATGATGAGAGAAAAACCAGGAATGGAAGTTTGAAAAAGTTAGTTGTCAATCGCTAAAAAAAAACGGCCCAATGCTATTTATGGAAACAAGTTGTCACGTGTGCGTGCCTACTGATCGGCCCCGCACCAGAACCACGCGAAGGCGCTAGAGCTGGCATCGGCAACTTGGCGCAGACCACCATCTGGTCCATCTCCCATCTGTGTTTTTTCTTTCCAACGCCACCTTCATTTCAATGACTCGCGGATCCGTCTCTCATTATTCCTAATTAACTTGTTGTGTACGATGCCTTCAGCAACTCTGCGTAAACGTATGCACGCGCTGGAGCGTGCAGCTGCCTCCGCTAAACAGCACTCCCCGGATTTGGCCTCATCATCCTCCCATTCCGCGTATATCGAGTCCGATGTTCCGTCGAGTTGTGAAGAAGAAGATAGTCACTATGATGAATCCCCATTGCGCGCGTCTCGATCCCCCCCTCGCGTGAGGTTCCAGGAAAATTCTCGCCAGACGGAACATCTGGATGACACGGAAGACGCCCATCGATCTTGGTACCACTTTGACCCTATTGTCTTCCTCGCGCTCCTCTCGCCGGTCGGGAACTGGATTACGGGCGGCGACCACGTCAAAAATATACTTCTCCTCGCGTTTCTTGTCTTTTACCTGCACCATATAATCGAAGGCGAGTTATCTGTTTTCCCTCAAAGATTTCCTTTTGTAACTGAGCTACAGTTCCGTGGCGATTGTACCAACGTGCTCGCGTACGCGTTTCTGTAGTTAGCGCGGACAACGACGACGTCGCCCGGCGCCTCGCGCGCTCAGAACTGCACAAGCTCGAGCTACTCTTCTTGGCGCTGTCCGTCGCGTCTCCGTTTCTCGGTGCGACCTTCATGCATCGCGCCGCCGGTGTTCTCGGCGGCGAGAATGTCGTCTCGTCGTTCAGTGTTGGTCTCTTCGTCTTGGCTACAGGAATTCGTCCTTGGTCTCACCTCATAGAGCGGCTGTCGTCTCGCACGTCCGAGCTCCAGTATACGATCCATTCTGCGCCTCGCTCACCGGTTGATGACCTTCAGGGTCAGATGGAGCTACTGCAACAGCGGCTCCAGGTATTGGAGGAAAAACACAAGGAGAGGGGTGGCGTGGAAGAGGTGTACGAGTACATTGATCATGAGTTGGCCTCTGTCGAGAAACGACTTCGGCGCCGAGACCACCGTGTAACCGCTTCTTTGGACGTTCTTCAAGCTAAGCTACAGCATGCCCTGAACCACGACGATGTCGCTATTGCCGTGACCGGTCCCAAATCCTCTTTGTTTGACACGTGTCTATCAGTTCTCTTGTTTCCTGTTCGTATTCCTTACCTGGTCTTTTCATTCTGTTGTACCGCGCTTTAAGGTTGGTTCTGCATCGTAAGCTTCGCATACTTCTTTCTTGAACAGCTGTCGTTCCTTGCATCCTGGAAACTCATTTTTGTAACCTTGTAATTCTGTATTCAGCCCATGTTAGTTCGCATAATGGAACAGTTTCTCATTAATATTGTCGTCAACGCAGCATGTATGATCGCTGCTTATCCCGGAGTAGGAACCGTGAAGACGTAGGCGGCTTGATACTTAGGTAGTGCTTAGCGGGTGAAAATATCTAGTCCATTTTATCGTGCTTGCGCGGTGAAACACAACCTGCATTGTAAACTATTTTGGTAGGAAATATGTTTCATTCTTATTTGCGGGAAAATAGGAATGAAATAGTTTAAGTTTTGTTACGATATTTCCAAACTTTTACGATATTTTTATCATATTCAATAAATACTCACCCAAAAAGGAAAAAGGAATGAATATCTTAAAAAGATCTTTAATATTTGTAGCATATTTCTACTCAAAATAGGATACATTGCATGTTGCGAAATTGTATTTTCGACCGAGACGTGCGAATGAGATCAATACTTCCTTAACGGGACGCGAGTCATCGACACATCCATCATCAACTCGACTTAAAGTTGAACGTGAACCACCATGAACGCGGCCGTCGTTTTTCACCGTGCGGGCGCGCTGCGTCCTTCTCTTCGACGTCTTGCTGTCTCGAGAATGTATGCCACCCATGTCGACACCCCCACCCCCGAGGAAAGTGGCCCCGTACCTCCCCATATTAATCGACAGTATCTCTCGCCTTACGGGTGGCAGGACCAGCAGATGAGGCGCAATTTTGGTGATCCGGTGCGTCCTGATACTTTTTCTTCCCTTTAACAACTGGACTCGACGCTTAAATTATGTTGCGTATAGATGCACGAGCGCGAAGAGTTGTACTCGATGTGGGCACCCGACGTACCGGTACACGCCGACCCACCAACTGCAGTCAAGCAATTCCTCATCGCGACCGCTGGCTTTGTCTCCTTCATGTTTGCGTGCAAATATATTTTGACTCCGGATGTGCCTGCCGCCAGGCGCGACTATCCGTTTGACGGTCTCAATCGTGAATTGGGAGGTGTACCGGTGCGTTGATGTTGCTTCTTGCTATCCACTTCGCGTTTTCTGAGGTCCGTTCGTTTATTGTGAAGGCTCGGACTGAGAGCGAGGACACGGATGGCTAGACACAATTTTGTATATGACAATCGATGTTCTACGGTTCGCATCCCGTATAATTTGAGTGTGGATTTCATTCAAGATTTATGCAGCTGTCGCGACTGGCTGTGCGCTTCCGTGACATGAGTTTCCGATTCTTTCACCATGTACTGAACCCTTGGTGTAGTGGCTATCACATCTGATTCCAGTGTTTGGAACGTCCAGAAGGTCACCTGTTCAACTCGGGTAGGGTTCATTTCCTTCCTAAGCTTAAGTTTTGACTTATCCATTGTTCTGGTGCACTTTATCCAGGGATGAGGGCCAGCTGTTACTGTGTGGTCCAATTTACCTTTCAGTTTCATGGAGTGAAGTTGTCTGGCGGTTTTGGAATTGGTTTCATGTAAGAGTGTTGTGGCTCAGTAGTGGGCCGCATTAACGCATCATGCCATGTGCAGGCCTGGGAACGAAATCTATTCGGGCCCTCATCAATTCATCACCCCGCGAGGTCACCAGCGGTTGGGAACTTCTGGCTGACCGAAACAGAAAATCACCTTTTGAGGCAGGTACAGATAAGCAGCATCATAGTGGCTACACTCGTCGTTAATTGCTGAGAAGTTGGAACTAACATAGGCCTATCATGCATCATTCGGACTCGAGAACTTGAGGACTTCTGGGACCTCCTCGGTTCACCTGTCACGACCGCACACCACCTAATACTGTTGAATACATTGTCGAGTGCGTTTTGGTTTGGGCGCCTGATAGTATCCTTGCACTCGCATACATACACGATCATGTCTCTTTTTCTTCTCATACCAATTTCTGAAATCCTCGACGGCAATCTCGCGCCTTATCTAGAGCTACGAGGCCAAAGATGGGCCGTCAAAGAATTCCAAGTCTCTCATGGCCCAAATGAAGGGAATCGCTCGATCCCGGCGTATACGTGCATTTCCTATGTCTGGGGCTCTGGAAGGACTCCTAATTCGATGTATGCTGGGGTGGAGATGTCGGATCGCACGCTTCCGGCGCTATTAACCGCGATGGAGGTCTGTTCCTCTATCGCGATGGAGAAGTGTTCCTCTACCGTGACGGAGAACTGTTCCTCTGCCGCGTATTGGATTGACGCGTTTTGCATCCCATCGGGGCAGAAGGATCCTGAGGGAAAGAGAGCCACCCTCCAGAGCATGGGGTATATCTATTCCAGGGCTCAGCGGGTTGTTTGTGTAATCTCCTCCACGTCTTTCAAGGCTCTCCAGGAGCTCTCTTCGTTGGATTCATTACAAATGAAGGAGCCCAACTTAATGAAGCAGCCCGAAACGAAGAAGCGCCAAAAGAGTCTTCTCAAGACCATGGATAAAGATCCATGGGTTCGCAGCGTATGGACATACCAAGAAGTGGCCAACTCATCCGAACTATTAATCTCGGGCGAGGGTCTGGCTCAGACCAAGCCGTTGTTAGCATATGACTTCTTGAACCGTCTCGGCGAGTTCATCGTCAGGTACTGTCGTGCACACGAGACCTCTATGCATATCTTCTATGGAAAATACCCCTACATTAGTAGGTTCGAAGATCTTATGCTGGATTGGTACACGGCCGATCCTACGACACGGACTGCATACCAGGTCATGTCCGCCATGGAGAAGCGCCATTGGGACAAAGACGCCAATTTTTTCTATTCGTCCATCGGCGCGTTGACTCAAGATTTGGTCGAGCGAACTCCCGCATCATCTATAGAAGCTCTCGCCGAGTCGTTTATGTCAATGTGCGAGAACAAACATGATTTCTCCTTCATCTTCGCGTCAGGGATACGCGACCCTCGTGACGGCCTCCGTTGGCGGCCAGCCCCGCAGATCTTACGTTCCGTCCTTCCCTGGCCATCTCACGGCGCCCAGGGCGGGCATCGCACTGCCCACGGTGCTGTTTTGAAAGACATGGTCCTACTTCCTGGCGCGTCTGGCATATCTGCTTACGCCAGAGCTGCCATACTTTCTTTCCTGGACGTGGAGGATGCGCCTGAGCTAACGGATGCGCGTATCGCGCGCCTTTGTTCTGACACCCTCTCTGGGTTTGGGTTTCGGGGTGACAAGGAGCACGTTATGATTACGACCAACGGTGTTTTCTTCGCTCAAGATGCTTCTGCGATCCGATCGTGTCCCAATGCAGAGCTATGGGTGTCTTCGACATTCAGGTGGCCCTTTGGCTGCTTCGGTTTAGCGGTGTTGCCTGATGGCGAGAAAACGAAGTGTTACGCACCAGCAGTGTTTATGGGTCCCATAAACAAGATAGCGGAGGGTGAAGACCCACTCAAGCAAGACTTATTACTTGATTGAATGGCGGAATGAAATGAAGTGTAGAGGATTATGTTCCAGTTAACTGGTGTGTACTGTTGATAACGAAAGCTACTGGATACTTAAGTTGACGAGCGGAAAAGTCATAGCAAGACAATTCTAGTAATCTGCTCCTTGGACGATATAGCATGACAATATAAATTGATATCTGGCCGCACGTCCGCCCAGGAGGCGGATTGAACGTGACAAATTCTGCGCTGGAGCAGGCGACCTCTGTGTGACCAACGGCTGCAAGCAGATGTCAGCGATTGGTGCGCTCAGAAATAAGACGCAAGGACCATGTACCATTGGTAAAGATGCCCTCCAGAACGTAGGTATATGGCGACACCCTATACATCTATTGTGCGGGTGTCAGCTAATTCGTGATCTCCCGCAAAGGCAGATACGGCATGCCCATTTATACCAGCCGAGCTGACCGTAAGGCTGAACTATGCCGTTGCTGAAAAGAAATGAGCACAGACCCGTCAAAATAAAAAGAAAATGTGGCACTCGCAAAGTTAACATGAAACTGAAAAAGAAGCTGAAGAGAATCGACGCTATCTCTTTGTTCGGACGAGTCACCGCAGCGACGGCTTGACCAACGGTAGTATAATACCAAGGGAAAGGGATGCCCATCATGGAGATATTGATACCCGGCGCGATTGGTAGGGAAGCCGACGGTCCAGTCGAACCGAGTATAATCCAGATTCCACAGGATCGCGACAACAGTTTGTGATGTGGCGAGCGCCGTCCAGCTGTACATTCGACCTGGATACTCGCATGCTTCATAGACTGAGCGAATGTTAAGGAAAACCGTCTGAAGTTGCTGAGCAAGAGGAACAGAAATAAAAGTTGACATGAACATGGAATATAATTTGTTTTGTGTCCCCTGCTGCGAGTCAGTCGGCTGAAGAAAGTGAAGAGCCGATGATTCTGAATGAAGAGACCGCCTATTATGTTGAGCATAAGTATACTTCGACCTCAAGTATACGGAATTGCGGTCCCGTGCATGTGGGAAGGAACTGTCAAACTGTGCAAGGCTCTGTAAATCCACCACTCTACAAGTCGATGCCATGCCACTTACTTATCGCTAGCCCGGGGCCACGAGTGACGAGACACAACAAAGCATCATTGTAGTCTCCTACAGTGACAGTACCGCGCCCGGCATTGTGGGTTTTCTGTCATTTTTTGGCTACCACAACATTCTTTCAAAACTCGACCGATGCGTAGCATGCGGCCCAACGGCGATCAATGACCTTGATGACCGCCTTGCCGATCGAGAGAAGCGTGCCGCTGCGCTCACGGGATGCGGCAGCCCTCAGTGTCCACCCGTGGCTGCCCCCGTTTGTCGGTCTGTCTGAACTCGTGTTTGTCTTTCATAACGTTACAGCTCGTGTGTATTTTTACACACACTGGGCAGCTGCGTCCACTCGATCATTGCCCCCTTCCCTCGCACTTCTTTTGGGCTGTGCCTGCTCTTCGTCGATAGTCTGCTCGATTGCAGATCGTGCCGCGTTTAATGGTCGGACGGCCGGGTTCACGCTGCATGATACTTGGTGCTTAAGCTTTATGGTGCTTTATGGCCATTTGCTCATTCTAGTCCGATCGTTGTCTGAGTCGTGGGATCGAGCGAATAGGAATCCGGCGTTGACTCGAAGACGGTAAATGCACTGAGCAGTGGTCGGTGCGTCTCGTTGATCTCAAGGGCAGCCCAATTAGACCTATGTAATCACAGATGAATATAAGCAAAGCAGATGGCGACCAGAGGCTGTGCTGTACACAAGATCGACAGTGCGAAGCGCTCGGATTACTGTAACGCTTGAAGCTTAATCCCCATCAACAATCCTGTCGGCTTTGTCAGGAACGCGCTGGATGACTGTACAAGGACGCGTTTGCCGGATTGCGTCGTCACGGTTTGGGTGATGTGGCGTGCAATTTCAAGTTGTGGTTATTTTTTAACCGACAAGGAAAGCAGTGAATGCGTCAGCCCAGCTCCTTTCGTGACAAATCAGTATCACCAAAGTCTGAGACACGCCAATTCTTGATTGTCACACGCGTAAGCGCGTTCCTAGAATCATTCTCATAAAACATAAAATGCATAAAACATAAAATGGAGAGTTCCCTGTTTCTCGTCCGTCCAGTCAACCATGTCCACTGGCATCGATAACCGCAGCAGCGGCAAGCGAGCCCCCAAAACGGACGAGACGATGCAGAGCGAAGTTGCCATCGGCTACTTCGACCCCAACGGTGTCAACGAGTTGCGCCGCGCCATCACCAACCTGTCCACTGCCCGAAGGAGTTCGATCGGCGATGTGACGCTCGGTAATGACAATGTCGATGGCGATGGCGACAAGTCTGCACCCTTCGACTTCGAACAGACTCTCCGCACAGTAATGCGCATGCGCGAGGAGGCCGACATCGCGTCGCGCGAGCTAGGTGTCGTGTTCGACCACCTTTCCGTGACGGGTATTGGCGCATCCGCTGCGTACCAGCCTACTCTCGGCTCACTCCTCAACCCTCTCAACATTGCAGAGAAGGTCAGAAATGCCCGCCACACTCCCACTCGCACCATTCTCGATGGCTTCCATGGATCCGTGCGCCCAGGGGAGATGCTTCGTACGTACTTATTTTTCACCTTTCATTCTCGCCTTGACGATTTTTTCAGTTGTTCTCGGCCGCCCTGGCGCAGGCTGTACAACGCTACTCAAAACGCTCGCTAACGAGACGGGGTCGTATCATTCCACAAGTGGCACGCGCGCCTACGTGCCTTCTGGCGGCGGCGGCGCGCTCCTTCCTCCAGAAATTGCCAAGCACTTCCGTGGCGATGTCCTCTATTGCCCAGAGGACGACGTCCATTTCCCCTCGCTCACCGTTGCGCAGACCGTCCGTTTCGCGGCGCGCTGCCGTGCCCCGCAGGGGGCAGACGCACGCG